TGACTTCTGCGCATGGGCCACGAAGTTTCAATCGCACTGTACGTGTGCGCCCGCACGTGGTATTTTGTGGAAGAGCCACACTCAAGGGGCCAAAGAGCCGCAGTTTGCCGACCACTGTCCTATACCTTCTGATCCTCAGCCGAATCAGTTATTCAGACCTTGCAGTCACACAGACTTGAGGACTCTACTCCCTGCATGAATCTCCCTTCTTCTTTTTATTGATTTTTAGAGAGAGAGAGAGAGAGAGAGAGAGAAACATCAGTGATGAGAGAGAATCATCGATCAACTGCCTCCTGTACACTTCCTACAGGGGATCAAGCCTGAAACCGGGCATGTGCCCCAACCGGGAATCGAACTGTGACTGCCTGGTTTATAGGTGGATGCTCAACCATTGAGCCACACCTGCTGGGCTCCCTGCATGACTTTGGGCAAATGAGTTAACCTCTCTGAGCATACAATCGTCTGTTCCTACCGTAGTCTCTTAGTCATCAGTGCTGAACCGAGGGGATGCGAGTTGGGGCTGAAATCCATCCTGGCTGGACTTTGCCAAATTTGGCTCCAGAGCTGGGGAGCTCCAAGTAAGGGGCCCTTTTTATATTTCAAATGGCATGTGCTAGCTGAGGCCCTGCTAGTCACCTGGACTCTCACCCTATCTGTTGCACCAGCATGTCCAGAGAAATCTTAGAAAAGTTTTTATCAAATTGTGTCACTGCCCTGTCCAGAACCTTGCAGTGGTTTCCCAATCTACCTAGAGTAGACCCCTTACCTCCTCATCATTGCCCTCAAAACCTGTGATTTGCTCTCCCCACCAATCTCTGACCTCATCTGCCACACCCCCATCACCTGCTCCACTCTAACAAGGCCCTACCCCAGGGCCTTTGCAATGGCTGGTCCCTCTGTCCATAGATAGCCATGGACAGACCATCTCTGGCCACCATGTTTGAAAGAGTACCTGCCGTCAGCTTGAGTGCTAACTCTGATTATTTTTTCATAACACTTCCACCCCCTACATGACATGTCATATTATTTGTATGTTTGTTTCTGTCACTCAGTTATTAGTCCCACCAGACAGAGACTGTTTCTCCTGGATGCCCAGTGCCTAGAACAGCCGTGGGCAAACTACGGCCCGCGGGCCGGATCCAGCCCGTTTGAAATGAATAAAACTAAAAAAAAAAGACCGTACCCTTTTATGTAATGATGTTTACTTTGAATTTATATTAGTTCACACAAACACTCCATCCATGCTTTTGTTCCGGTCCTCCGGTCCAGTTTAAGAACCCATTGTGGCCCTCGAGTCAAAAAGTTTGCTCACCCCTGGCCTAGAACCTTGCTTCGCTCAGAGTCAGTTGGTATTTGGGGTGGCTGGGAGGTCTGTCCCAAGTGATACTTGGCAGGTATAGGTGCCACGCCTCCTTGTACTTTCTAAGCTCTTTCTTGTGGGAAGTTCCCTTCAGCCCTCTCCAGGGATCATGTCTTGCTCAGTGTTGACTGTACAGCAGGCTATAACAAACCCAGCAGTGAGTCATGACATCCATCCAGGGTTGACTAGGCTTAACAGGAGCAGGGTCAGGAAAGATTTGTAAAGCTTGTTGCAATTACTTGGTGTATGTTTGTGTTGGGCCAAGTCATGACTCTGGGTCATGGTCAAAAGAGTTTAAAAAACACATATCTAATGGATAATAGGATAGTGTTTGTGTTCTTGACGTAAAGACAGTACATTTCCTTGACAGATAGGGCAGAAAACCAACCTGGTTGTCATGTCTTCTGGCATGTTGTATATGGGGAGTTACTCTTTAGTGGTTGTCAAGTGAATGAAAAAACTTTTTAAATGGGCAAGGGTAGATTCCAATGAATAAAATGATACATAATCCCCAGTGCTAGAAATAATACTTGGTCCCTGGCCAGCGTGGCTCAGTCGGTTGGAGTGTCATCCTGCCCTGTATATGGGAAGGTGGCGGGTTTGATTCTAGGTCAGGACACATACCCAAGTTGCAGATTTGATCCCTGGTCTGGGTGCATGCGGAAGGCAACAGTTTCTCTCTCGCATTGATGTTTTTTTCTCCCTCCTCTCTTAACTTCCTCTCAGATAATAAAAATAAATAAAAATATATGCTGCAGTGGAAGAAGTATAGTTGTTGACAATGTATAGTTCTGTGCTAAAAAAAAAAAAAAAAGCCTGGCCTGTGTGGCTAAGTGTTTGAGCATCGACCTATGAACCAGGAGATCTTGGCTTGATTCCCAGTTAGGGCACATGCTTGAGTTGTGGGCTTGATCCCCAGTAGGAGGCGTGCAGGAAGCAGCTGATAGTTGATTCTCTCTCCCTCTCCCTTCCTCTCTGAAATCAATAAAAAAATTTTTTTAAAAAATAATAATACTTGGTAACAATTCAGCATGCCTACCTTTTAGGTAGAACTGAAAAGCCATTGTAATTGATTGTGACATGACTTTTCCTTTCTAAAATGTATTCCCTTTTAAATGCAGGGCAAGGTTTTGCTACGTAATTATATTGCAAGGGAAGTTCTATTGGACACAGTGATGGGGAAGCACAGTCTCAGGAATAAGCCATTTCCACAAGGTCCCTAAGTCCACAGATGCCTGCCCCTTAACATCCTTCCTGGTTCATTTACTAGAGCACTCCACACCATCAGTACAAGTGTGGAGGGTTTTTCTTAGTAGATTTATTAGGAGGGAAATGTTTTGTATTTTGAATGTAAGGCATGAGGCTGGTTTTGCCCAGCCACTATTGCTGGGTATGAACACCCTGCTATGACTTGACTGTAATGTTGACTCTGTTGATAAAACGTGTATGTAAATAAATTTCTCCACACCCCCCCAAAAATAGCAAATATTCTGGGCCAACCTGAAATATAAAGCCGTTTTTCTGGCAAGATGAAAAAACATACACCATAATTCCAGCAAGCAGATACCAGAGGGTCTAGATTGCTTGTTAGCAGCTTTTCCTGCCACAGAGGCTGGCCACCAGGGTACTTTTTTACTTATAAGACAAAAGGCAAGGGTGTTAGGAAAGAAGAAACTGGACTAATCCTCCAGCACTCCTGTTCCACATTTGATGGCCAGAGATGTTTTATTTTAGATGATAATTTTGATGAAGTTGAAAGTAGATGGAACATAATGCAGTTTCAAATCCTTTCATTTTTCTCTTTTATTTCCACAAAGGCACTTCCTGGGCCTCTTTTCTGGGTATGTAGTTCCCGAGTATTTTTCTAACTAGGTATTTTTCCTTAAAAAGTGGCTCGGTTGGTAGGGTGTCCTCCCATGCTCCGAAAGGTTGCCATTTCGATTTTCTCGTCAGGGCACATGCCCATGTTGTGGGCTTGATCCTCGGTGGGGGGCATGCAGGAGGCAACCAATCTATTTATTACTCTCACATTCATATTCCTCTCTTTCTTTTTTTCTCTCTTCCTCTCTCTCTAAAAAAATCAATAAAAAATATTTAAAACATTTCTAAAAATCTGGTTATGGAAGTAATAGATGGTTATTATAAACAAACAAACACACACAAAGAAAAAAATACCAGAAATCTCTGAAGTGGAAAATGTGAAGTTTCCCATCATACGCCTCCAGAGAGCTGATGGCTGCTGCTGATAGTTTGGTGTATGTTGGCTTCTATGCTTCGATTAACATGCATATACAGTACAGTTGATCCTTAAACAATGTTGCAAATCGACACATAACTTTTACTCCTCTAAAACTTAACTACTGTCCAGCTCAGTGGTTGAGCATTGACCTGTGAACTAGGAGGTCACGGTTTGATTCAAGGTCAGGGCATATGCCCGGGTTTCATGCTTAATCCCCAGTGTGGCATGTGCAGGAGGCAGCCAATCGATGATTCTCTCTCATCGATGTTTCTATCCCTCTCTCCCTCTCCTTTCCTCTCTGAAATCAATAAAGATATTTTAAAAAACAACAACAAAAACAACTTAACTATTAATAGCTTACTGTTGACAGGAAGCCTTACTAATAACATAAGCACTTGATTAACACATATGTTGCATATTATATATATTATATTATAGTAAGACCAGTGGCCTGGTACATGAATTTGTGCATAGTGAAAGAAAATTAATTAAAAGAATTATTTTAATATTGCTATTTGCCCTTTCTCTATAATAGAAATGTCAACCAAATTCACAATCAACAATGACAGATTGAAACACACGCATGCGATTGACATCAGCGAGATCTTTACATGTATTGTGCATGCGAGAGTCAACTTAGCCTTTTATATATATAGAATGAACTTGCTTAATTAGACCTGCTTTCTGATTTAGCTAAACTTTTTCCAGCCCAGTGAAGCACTCCAGTTTCTCTTTTAGGTAATTGTCAGCAACACAGCAATAAATTTCAACACGAAGCAGATTATTATTGTAGATCACACAGGGAGAACGAAGAGGGTAAAATATTTAACTGCAGCAGCTTTTGACTGTATTCTGCGCATTTGAAGTCACTTTCAAGGTCCACTATTTCTTCTTTTCAGTCGGGTCAAGTTTCCAAGCTTTCTAAATCTCCATTTTCCTGCTAATGAAAAGAAAATACGCCAGGCTGGGTGGGATCGTTGCATGTGGGAGCAAAGAATTTTCAGTAACTACCAGAATCTCTCCCAGATGACAGGGACCAGTGCCCTGCCTTCGTCTGTTGCCCCCACCCACCTGCACTATCTTGCTGTGGCCAACGCCTGCCATGTTCCGCGCACGCGCCCTGGTGGTCAGTGCATGTCAGAGTGACCAGTTATTCAGTTGTGTGATTGTTCCGCCGTTTGGTCTATTTGCAAAATAGCCTTTTATTATATAGGACTTGAGGCCCGGTGAACAAAAATGTGTGCACTTGGGGGGGGGGCCCCTCAGCCCGGCCTATGCCCTCTCACAGTCTGGGACCCCTTGGGGGATGTCCACCTGCCGGCTTAGGCCCGCCCCCCAGGGGATCGGGCCTAAACTGGCAGTCACACATCCCTCTGGCAGCCCAGGAGCCCTTGGGGATGTCCACTTGCCAGTGGGGAGCAGGCCTAAGCTGCAGTCAGACATCCTTAGCGCTGCTGAGGAGGCGGGAGAGGTATGTAAAAAATGTTTTAATAAAAATTTTGTAACCTAATTTTTACAATGTTACACATAATTATTAATAATGAACTACAGTGTTCACTAATGACTGATTACTATAATCATGTTGCATTCATTTCCCTTACACACCTTATGCGCAGGTGCACCATTTCTCTCCACTAATACTAGCAGCGAATATTTTAGCAGCTTATTGCGACGTCATTAGTCTTGTACTGACTTGTTTGGTGTGTGAAACAGGAAATATTTTGCTTTTGGAGAACAAGAAAAATAGGTTTATTTGCATTACGCTTATTAATTTGTGCAGTTTTTCAGTGTCTGGTAGGTTAATGTTCAAGAAAAAATACTAATTTTTATTAAAATATTTTATTATTTTTGTCAACAATTACTCATTTATTTCGGCCCTTTGTATTCAGCATGTCTCTATCAAAGTAAACCTATGTTTCTATGAAAATTGAAGCTTTTGGTTTTTTGTGGCCCACATAAACTTAAATTTTGTTTATTTGGCACATGTTCCCCTTTGAGTTTGACATGCTTGATCTAGAGCAGTGATGGCGAACCTATGACACGTGTGTCAGAGGTGACACGTGAACTCATTTTTTTGGTTGATTTTTCTTTGTTAAATGGCATTTAAATATATAAAATAAATATCAAAAATATAAATCTTTGCTTTACTATGGTTGCACATATCAAAAAATTTCTATATGTGACACGGCACCAGAGTTAAGTTAGGGTTTTTCAAAATGCTGACACGCCGAGCTCAAAAGGTTCGCCATCACTGATCTAGAGCCTATTTTCATCTTGTGGCCTCCGGAATATCTTAGCTTTTCTGTTCTTACCGGAGTAGTTTTATTTCCTGTCACATTCCTTCAGACTGCCCACTTGGATTCCCAAGCTCTGTTCCCTTCTGTGGAACCCCAAATGCACCTAACCCATGGGCCAGGCACATCTGCTAGCTTTCAGATACACCAGGCTAGCAGTTTCACCATTTTGGCTCCTTCTTCCCCTTGTCCTTCATTTTGTCTCTGCTTAGGTAGAACTGGTTGGGTGGATTTCATTGAATGTGAAGTTGCCCTTATATTCCCAACACAGACACCAAGTGACTTGTCTGAGAGGGATTTGTTGCGGGTGTTCCCTGGCAGCACTATGGAAGTTACCTGGAACCCACAAGGCCTTAGGACGACCTTGGGGACCCAAGGAATTTGCTGGAAAAGCCAACTATTTAGTTTCCGATGTAGGAAGGGCAGGGGTGTTTGGTGGTAAGGGAAGAAGGAATGGGGAAGAGGGATGTCAGATCTCACCTGGTTAATCCTGTCTTGCTCCCTGAGTAGGCATCTCACTGGAGTGTAGTGGTACCCCTTCCTCCACCCTCTTCAGCCCTCAAGCAGGGCCAGGTGCACTCCTGCCCCTCAGTTGGCTAGCTAAAAGGAACTTGATAATGGCTAAGCAAATTGCTTTTGTGGCAGTGACGACCAAGAGGGCAAGAGAGAGTTTGCAGCAGCCCAAATCCTGCCCATTGATTGCGAGGCTGGACCTTGTTTGCACTGGGCTATTCTGATCTTCAAGCAGCTTCTGCTTCTTGAGGGGAGAAGCAAGCATATTTGTCCTGAGTGCTGAGGGATGGGAGCATTAATCAAGGTTTGTCCTGCAGGGAAGCTAAAGTTAGGAAGCAAATTCTCTAGAGTGGTTACTTACTATTTGGCTAGTTTACTCATCTCTCTATGGGGAGAGGAGGGTGGAAATGCTTAATCTGTATGACATTTCTAGGACAGTAGTGACAAGCAGTAAGCATTGCCCAGTAAATGTTAGGACCCTTGATTTCACCAGATGTGTGGTGGCACTTCCTGCCTGCATATGCTTTGCATGTGTTAGCTCATTCGATGCTG